TTTGTTGAATTTCTCAAATTTCATCATTCTCTAGTGTTATAATTGATTGCTATGTATGTATTCCTTAAATTGTCAATTTCTAAATCGTCGTTATATCTCAAAACTATACATTTAATATGAAAAGTTAATTACAATAAGATATAGAGAAGCGATAGAAAGAAAATTCACAGGAGAGAAAGCATATTTGTGTATTTCTATACAGAACTACCAAGAAGTACGAAGATGCCTCGATAGATACTGTGATGAGGAAATATGAAGAAATACAGAAATCTGCTTTTTCTTCTTTGAGAAAACTTCTTTAAGTTCGCTAATATTTTTATGAAATAAAATGTAATCTTGTTTGTATTCTTCGTTGATATTGGTGAATGGATTTTTGAAATTCTGTTTTGTATAATTTTGATGGTAAAACAAAAACAAGAAACGTAAGCATAGGTGGAATAAGTGAAATAAAGTATCCAATAAGAAATAACCATGAATCGTTAATTGATTTCATACAACCTGATATAAAAGAAATGATCAAATGTGGCAAATCAATAATGACCAAAAGAATTGGAGCAACGAGTAAATGACTATGTTGTTGAATTTGTTCACGTAATAACTTTCCATAAGTTTGATGAGTTTGAACAGTTGTTCATTGTCGAGTAGTTTTAATAATAACCATAATAGCCGAAAGAATATTGATGAGAAATGGAACACAAAAAAGAAATATATTCACTATTGAATTGAATATCCGAAGATTAGACGAATAAGTAACAATACACCAAATACGTTTCTCATCACTATCATCATCATCATCTAACAGACGTCGATGAATAGGATCATAAATAGTTGTACTAATTGTTAAGAAAATAAGAGTCAAAATAATGTATTTAGCTACTTGTTTACTTTTCTTCTTATTAAAATTAGCTCCTTTTATTGTGGCAAATGCTCGTTCTGCAGCCACACATGCATTTAACCATTTATCCATATTAAGAAAAAATCGTAAGAAAAAATCTATTGATAAACATTGAATATATAGGAATGATCGATTTGTATTATATGTCATTTGTATTATGATAAGTATTGAAAACTTCATTGCAAATGTGATTACAATAAGTAAAGTAGTAATTGATGAACCTAAGAGATAAAAACCACAACCAACTTGATGTGTTGCTTTATTCTTAAATGTAATCATAGATAATATACCATTGATAAGACCTATGATGATCATAATTATTGTTAAAACTAGACTTATTTGTACAATATGTGACTGATTTTTCATGTTTACATTTACTTTAATATGATAACCTAAAATAGCATCGAGTGAAAGACCAAATAATGATGAACTAAATTGACATCGTGTTCCATAAAAACATAATGGACAAACACACATTGATGTTTGTGGACAAATTGGTCTATTTTGTAAACATTGTGCACCATTTTCACAATTACTTATACGAAAACAATCATGTTTAATTGAAGAATTAAATTCAAAACAGTTCGCTATACGTTGATGATGGTCATAATCATTACATAGGGTGTGGGTGTGGCTGGGTGTGGGCGGGTGTGGGTGTGTGGGTGTGACTGTGGGTGTGGGTGTGAGCGTCTCTTCCTTGCTTAAACCAACACCTACACCCACACCCACACCCAGCCACACACCCACACCCAGCACACACCCACACCCAGCCACACACCCACACCCACACCCACACTCACACCCCACAACGTGGAGTCTACTATCATATGATTGTTCGTAGCTATATTTCATAAATTTTATTCATTGTTATTTTAATAAAACTGACTAATTATTGAAATAAACTATTTTCATTAGGTAAGGAACACTTCGGGCTATATTATAACTGAGAATGGGCAAATGCGAAAAGTGAAATTTTTTCAGTTCAAAAGTCAGATGAAGGTTCCCATACCCCAGATAGCCAACTACACCCACACCCACAGCCACCCTATTTTCAAATTTATTTTATCTTCGAAAAATATTTGTTTTTGTAGCATGTCAAAAGATATGCTGTCAATGCATTAATACGTCAACTTTTTCGTTACATGTCTGACTGGATGCTTGAAAAAGAAAGAATTCTTATAACGGCCATAATTTAAAAGTGTAATGCGTTTCTTTTTCGTATTTTTTTCTTACTGAAGTAACACAAAAGAATTTTTTTCCAACTTAGGTTTTTTTGTTTATGACTCATAAGAATGATTTAATATTTGTTTGAGTAAGTTCTTACAGTATTTGCAGGCATTATTTAGTCTTTACATCGATAGTAAATTAAAGCTTTTTTTCAGATCAGTTAAAAACATGTCTCAAATAGAAGTAAAAAATCCTACATCAACAGGAGATACAAATATATTATTATTGGGTCAAACAGGTGTTGGAAAAACAACTTTTATTAATGCATTTGCTAATTATCTTGTTTATAATTCACTTAATGAAGCTATGAATGGAAAATTACAAGAAGTTATTCCAGCATCGTTTACATTTTTGGATAAAGATACATTTGAAGAAAAAACAATAACAATTGGTATATCAAATGAAAGTGAAAAGAAAGGTCGTGTAGGTGAATCATGTACAAGAGAATGTCGAAGTTTTGTATTTCGAATTAATAATAGAAAATTACGTTTAATTGACGCACCAGGTATTGATAATACTGAAGATGTTTTAAAAGATGAAAAAAATTTCGACGATATTCTTGCTTATATAAGTCAATTTGATTATTGAAATGGAATATGTATTTTATTAAAAACAAATGAAGAAAGATTACATATTTTATTTCGTTTTTGTATTAAAGAATTACTTAGACATTTACATATTCATGCAAAAGAAAATATTATGTTCATATTTACAAATGCTCGAGCGACTAGTTTTCAACCTGGGCCATCAGCTCCTCATCTTCGAGAACTTCTTCAAAGTCTTAAATATCAATCAAATACTGAAGTACTATTTTCAAAAGAAAATTCATTTCTATTCGATAATGAAGCATTTCGATTTTTAGCATTATGTAAGAATGGAATTGAATTTAATCTTGAAGAAAAAAAAGATTATAGTAGAAGTTGGGATTATAGTATTCGAGAATTTAGTCGTCTTATATGTCGTATAATTCAATGTGATAAACATGCTACACGTGATACACTTTCATTTAATGAAGCACAACAATTAAATCGAAAACTTGTGAGACCTATTGGTGAAATTGTTACACTTATTCAAGAAAATCTTCAATTAGCTGAACAACAAAAAAAAATGTTATATCAAATAGCAGTCCGACACATGTGCGGCGCAAGGTCAGTTTTGTACAGGTAGCAATAAACTGTTAAATAAGGTCTACTTTTTTCCCTTGCTCAGTCCGCTACAAAAAATTGTTTTCACAAGAACGTAACTTCTCGAATGTACTGTATGGAAAGCTCGAGCATTAACTCCTAGTAGTGTATTAAGCCCACTTTAACTAGTATATGCACTTTTTATTGAGTACATTTACTTCTTCAATTTTAGTCTTCAAACACTATTAGATGTTCACAAATGTTTATTATTAAGAGGAAAAAATACATTCATATTCGAGAATGATATACAATTATTTGTTCATTTTCAAAAAATTTTTTTTCTCTCATCTTTTATCAATACAAAAGCAGTTACAATAGCATCAATATCAATTTCATAATCTCATTCAAACGAGTGTACCATAATAAATGGCCAGTTTTTGTATTTCATATTTTAATCTCTAAATATTTTTAGTAAAAAACCGAGTATACCACAAGATGCAATGTGAAAAGCTCTACAATTCACAAAGCAATACTGATTTTGGTTGTGCAATTTTGATTTTGAAAAAGGCAAATGTCTACACGACTACTTTTCGACGGTGTCAAAAAACGATCCCTTCTCTCTTATTTTATCTGTGTATCTCCTAATATATTTTCTTTAAAAGAGTATAATACACCAGAAGATGCAGCGTGAAAAGATCTACAATCCACAAAGCAAAGCATATTTTGGTTGTGTAATTTTTGTTTTCAAGAAGCAAAATTCCGTGAGACCAATTTCCATTGTTCCGAAAGGATCATTTTTTTCTTATTTCATTCTTTTGTCATCTAATTAGTTTTATCATATGTATCACAAGATGCAGCGTAAAAATTTCTATAATGTGCAAAGTCAAGCTTATTTTAATTATATACTTTCTGTTTTGAAAAGAAAAAAAATTCTATGAGACGGTTTTGCACAGCGTCGAAAGGGTGTGGGTGTGTGGGTGTGGGGTGTGGGGTGTGGGGTGTGGGTATGGGTGTGGGCGTGTCAAGACTATTGAAACACCCACACCCACACCCACACCCCATACCCACACACCCCACACCCACACACCCACACCCACGCCCACCCACACCCACACCCTACACCCACACCCACCCACACCCAATGTATTTCAATCATATTTCAGCTATAGTTCTTTCTGTCGTATATATCTTTGAAACAGATTTATTTTGAAGTGTCCTTGCAAGTTTTTTTCGACTGTGTTGCACATTATGTATTTTTTCATCCTGGTAGAGTTATTCAGAGTCATCCGATTTACCATAGAATAGGCTTTGAAATGGTCCATCTGGTCCAGAACGGTTTTTATTTCAGACCAGGCCAGCCTAAAAGTTTGTCAGGCCGCCTAGTCCAAATTCGTTTCTTGTTTCAAGCAAGAATTCCTGCATAAGAAAAAAACTTATTCTAATCGACTTTCTTCTAAGTTAAAATCGATTAAAATGGCAATATTACCGTTTGATTAAAATTAGATTATTTGACTTTTAATCGATTTACATATCGATGGTCGTTAAACGGATTTTTCTCGAGTTTTAAGTTAGAACCTCAAATTTTCGGTCGGCTTTTTTACTCCTCAGCACAACCGATCATGAGTATTACACTAGATTAGATTTTGATAGAAATATCAAGCGTGGAGATGGCATATCAATTAACACTGACTCATTTAAGAAAAAAAGATCGATAAATTAGACTAAAGTTGATTATTTTATCATTAAGTATCAATTAAAATGATATTATTTAAATTCGATTAAAACCTGATTTGTTAGCTTTAAAGATAGATTTTAATCTTTCTTAATCAGTCTCTAAAAAACCAATTTTAATCGATAAGACTTTATTAATCAGTTAAAATTTGATCAAAAAAGATTAAAATCAATTGACGTCTATTTTTAAAGTTGAAAGATCGGATTTCCATCAGAATAAAAAACCGCCATTTTAATCGATTTTTAATCAAAAAATAATCGATTTAATTTTGATCTCTGCGTTAACATATTCTACATAGCTTATAACTTCGCAACTGTTGACAATTCAGAAACTTTATTATACGAACTTTTTGGAAATTTCATTTAGACAATAAATGAAAACAGAGCATTTCTTTAATTTAATAGCATTCTTCATCCACACACAAAGCCAAGTGAACTATCAACTACATTAAACGGCATGAACATGTCTGAAGTGGAACATTGTTAACTATATACTGAAATTAATAGTGTAACTAGAAATAGCAATCGATCTGACTCTTTGAAATTGTTCAGTGGGCATTTTACTTGTAAAAGGTTCTTCGGAATAAACGATAGTCTTCAAAAAGCTGAAATACTAACGAACGTATCTTACTCTTTCGTTTCAATAAGTAATTCGACCTATCTCTAACGCTGCTTTCTTCAAACATTAGAATTGTTTAACCATATTCAACTCATAATTACTGTGATAATAAAGGGTGTGGGTGAGAGTGGGTGTGGGTGTGGGATGTGGGGTGTGAGTGTGAGTGTGGGTGTAGGTAAGAGGAAATACTAGACTCATATCCACATCCACACACACCCCACAGCCACATCCACACACCCGCACACTCACACTCACTCCCCACAGCCGCAGTCACAGCCGCATCCACTCGTGTAAAAAAAATCGGAAAAAATGAGATCAAAATCGATTTTTTTCAAGAATAATCATAAAAAATCGATTAAACATGACAATTTTCGATTAAATTAGATGAAATAATCGGTTTTAATCGATGTTGTTCGGTCAAAATCAAATAAAATCGATTTTTCTTCAAGAAATTCCAAAAGTCGATTAAAACTGTAATCGATTTTAATCGATTTTACCTTTAATCCATTAAAATCGATTTCCTTACCAGAAATCACAATAATCGATTATACATTTAATCGATTTTAATCTATTTTACCTGTAATCTGTTAAAATCGATTTCTTCTCAAGAAATCACAGGAATCGATTAAAAGTCTAATTGATTTTAATCGATTTTTAAGGTACTCGATTAAAACCGATTTCTTTTTAAAAAATCACAATAATCGATTAAAACTGTAATCGGTTCTAATCGATTTTGCATTAAAAATTGATTGTGATCAGTTAAAACATCAAAATCAATTAAAATCGACTTTCTCCGAAGAAGTCGCAGTAATCAACTAAAAATCTAATCTAATCGATTTTAGTCGATTTTTCTATTTTAATCGATTTGAATGTGAACCCATTGAAATCGATTTTGTCCCGAGAAATTATAATAATCGATTAAAAAATCGAATGCATTCTATTTCATGTAAAAAAAGCGAAAAGAATCAGGCTAAAATCGATTTTTCTAAAGTAATCACGAAGAATCGGTTAAATATGAAAGTTTTCGATTGAAATAAGTCCAATAATTGGTTTTAATCGATGCTATTCGCTCAAAATCAATTAAAATCGATTTTCCTTCCAGAAATCCCAATAAATGATTAAAAATATAATTGATTTTAATCGATTTTATAAATAGTGTATTGAAACCAATTTTATCCTAAGACATACCATCCCGGAAGGTTTTGAAGAAAGAGTTGTCGGTGAAAAAAAATTGCACATTCGGAATCAGCATGATCGATTACCCCCGTCCCTGTTGAAATCTCGAGAAGGTAGCTCCGACCACACGCAAAAATTTTTTGAACAAAACTCAATGCAAAATAATGAAAAGAACAGAAAAAAAATCAACGCTTCGCACAGGATTCGAACCCGTGTCGCGTTATACTCGCCCTTAGCCATTCTGCTATATGCGAAGTGTTCTTTTCTCTTTTCTTTTGCTCTTCCTGCTTCTTGCTTATTAACTCAACGAATTTAATTATTTTAGCCTGAACATATTGGTTCAACAGAAGCAACTGGCTATGATGATGCTGAACGATCTAATGTTTGGTCACTTGGAGTAACAATTGTAAATCCTTTTAAGTCAAAACCAAAGAAATAAAACTCTTTATTTATTTTTCAGTATGAATTGTCTACAGGGTATTATCCATTCAGAGAAGGAGTATATACATTTCACAAAATAGAACAAATTGTTTCCCGACCTCCATTAGAGCTGACACTTGATCGACTTTCTGATCATTGTAAAAACTGTGTAAATGCATGGTAGAATAATAATTTTCTTATTCGATTTACTTCATTTAAATTTTTCTAGTCTAAATAAAGATCATAAACAACGACCAGGATATAAATAGTTGTTGAACTATCCATTTTTACAACAAGAAAACGAATCACAACAAATGCAATATATTATTGCTTATTTTCCTGATATAATTGATGGTCTTCAACAGAATACGAATTAATCTAAGTGATATTATTAATCTTTCTTCAACTTTTCGATGAATATACTTTTTTTTTCAATTTTTATTTGCATTCAAAATTGTCCTAAGATACGGTGACCTCAACATTTTGTTTTTTGTTGAAACAGTTTTATTCAAGAAATATTATTATACGAAAACGTTGATCAGCAGAAGTTGGATAATATTAATTCGAAAAGTATCTGAAAATAATTTTTATTGATAAAAACACGTTTTAATTAATTTTCAGTGAATGGTTAACTCCTTTCGATCCTATCTTTTCTTCTTTGAGGTATATTGTACTGATTGCCATTCGCGATTTTCTCCTTATAGAGGGTGTGGATGTCATTCTTCAATAGATTCACACCCACACCCCGACATTGAACTCCATCTCTGGTGGAGTTGGAGTTCAGAGTCTTGTGCAAGTTTCTAATGGTATGATAAATAACAAGGCATCTCTGGTCGAAGATTCTGGAAGTTTATGATGACTATCCGGTATTTTTCCAGCAGGATCTACTCGACTTCTCGAAGAAAATCCCCCGTAAAAACTAGAAACATATAAGCAGTACGTCAGACATCTAACCAATTGACCGAAAACTGCAGCTACATAGATCATGCTCATGAATATCCACAAGCTGATTTTAACCATGCTTACATGAACATACATGAGCGATGTTCGATCATGCTCACATCAGAGTTCACGAGCAATTTTAGATCGTTCTCGAATGTGCACTTAATAAAGAATCTTTTTAACCATATATATTTTTATCCATATAATTATTAGTTATGATCGAAGAATATGAGAAAATATAAACTAGTTTGAAGCACAAAGATCTGCCAAAATATTTGTAGTCATCATCGTTTAAATTTATGTAAAATAATAAAAAAATATTACCAAGAAGCAGAGTAAATTCTAGTACTCACCGTTCCTTACAGCACCTTATGACTATAGTTCAATGAAAAAAGACGAAGAAAATACTAGGGGTCAAGGAATTCATCTCATCTCATCCGAAGTCCTGATGGTTATTTAAAGTCAGACAGATTGAAAACGAATCCATTATAGTTTAATAAAGTCTCGAAAGATGATCTTCTCAAATAAACGCCCTTGTGTACGATGATTTTCCATTGGTTTTTTCGTCCCATGTGTCGTTTTGTATTCACGGTTCATCGTATTTTTTTTTCTTTTGGACTGTTTACATCATATCTTCAGTGATTTTTCTATGATTGAAAAAAATCCAGTCCTATTGATCAGAGAAAAGTATAAAAATGTCTCCTATTCAAAACTTATATTGATGATATTTCACAGTCTAATATAGTTTGCTACCCTAACAGACAATATCAACGCAAATCCATGAAGAAAACTCTCAATGAATATTTCTTATGGTAATAATTTCAGATTGTTTAGTCTTTGGATCCTTAAAACTACTTCTAGAAAACAAATTTTCATAGTACTTTCATACACAGAGAATTTCTATTATTCATTTTCACAGAATCTAGTGAAAAACTATAACATCACTTAGATATTTTATGTTATTGCATTGACTGGATATATCAGTGTGATTGAAACAATAACAAAAAATCAATTATTTTTGTGAATATTTCTTTAGAGAGAGGATAGTTATTCTTTAAGGAAAATAGGTAGAATATGTAGTCATTATGAATTTGTCTATTCATAAAGGCTATACAGTACGAACACAACAAACAAAAAATTGTTTTGCTGTTAGATTTTTATTGATGCTCGATGAAGTCTGAGTAATTTTTGTTCTTATGTCTCATCATGTTTCATTGTTTGATTCATTTTATTTGAATAAATAAGTTTTTCAATATTTAAATATGTCGTTTAAGTTAATGAGGAGCGTAAACAATATGATTGTTTTTCAACTCTTTTCTCGTAGATGGTTATTCACCGCATAATACTACCCACAAATATGTTCACAATGTGAACAGGGTGTGAGTGTGGATCTATTGAAGAACGATAGATCCAGACCCACACACACCTATGATGAATTGAGACTTTTTTGTTTGTTCTCTACTGGAATGTTTGCTACGGTCTGTTTTGGAAAGAAAAGCTTTTAATAATTTTTCTTTTTTTTGTTCCTATTCGTGACAAGTAAACTTCATCATCTTTTTTACCGTATACTTTTTTCTCTTTCTGTGAGCTTTAGTGCTTTCTTGTCATTCTGTGCAAGAAAAAGATGTTACCATAGGAATCCTTTTTTCTTAAATAGAACGAAAGAAAGCGAGATGTATATTTGTGAAAAAAGTCGTTAAGATAGTGCGAGAAGCATTGTCAACACTTTTTTGTTTGATTGCAAGTGAAAACTGTTTATACTCTTCATTTTCAAGCAACAGTGTATAATTGGCGACAGAAAAAAAAAACTATTCCGATGTCAACAGGAGAACACAAAAATAATGAAACATTATCGCTTATCTGGCTCGACTCTGATGTCAACAGTTCAGAAGCAAATATCAATGCTCAAAAACAACTTCAGAGATGGATAAGTCATCTCAAAACATTCGACGATGCTGATCAATGCAAGAAATATATTCAATCGGAATCTGTCAATCATAGAATAATTCTGATTGTAAGTGAACGATTGGGTTCTTATGCACTGCCACGCATTCATCAATTATCGCAAGTGTTTTCAATCTATGTCTACGGTGTGAACAAAGAGAAAAGCGAAGAATGGACAAAAATCTATCCCAAAGTAAAGAAACATTTATATGTTGGTTAGACGAAGCAGTATAAGATAAAACAGAAAGCCTTATTCCTATGTTAACTTGAACTCAGTTATCAATTCTTATATTCAAATCGAATTCGTCAAAATAGCTGTAGCAATTAATCAACTTTTAAAAGATCCTTTTTTATCATAAGTAGGGTTGGAAAACGTACTCTTTTCTTATTTTAGTATTCTCACGATTATTATGCATAATTTTTGTTTGCAAATATTAATAGTGCATGTTGTGTATTATAGATAAAAGGTGTGATCACGGACATCAACGTGCTTGTCTCCCAAATTCGTTGGAATCATGCTCGAAAAAGTCCCAATAAAACTGATGATTCAATAACGTTCAACGTCTTCAATGGAAGTAAGAATGACGAACGATCGACTACTGCATTGAACGGTCAATTTGTTCATTCTCAACTGCTTATCGATTGTTTGCTTCGTATGAAGGCGATTCCAACGGACAAGAATGAGCTTATTGATCTCTCAGAAAAAGAATATACAGACAATACAAACGAATTAGCTATTGTTCACGAGTTTCAAGAGAGTTATTCGCCTGATCGATCTTTATGGTGGTACACACGTGAATCATTCTTGTATCGAAAATTGAACAAGGCTCTTCGTACGTTGGATATTGATGTATTGTTTGCATTTCGCTTCTTTATTCGTGACATTCATGAACAACTCGAACGTTATCGATGTTCATCACCCATTCGGATCTATCGCGGTCAGCTTATGGCAACCAATGAACTAGAAATGTTGAAAGCTTCAATTGGACAACTAATTTCAATGAATTCATTCCTCTCGACTACGACCAATCGTCGAGCAGCTCTTTCGTTTCTCTACTCTTCAAACTTATCGGATAATTTAGAATGTGTATTGTTTCAAATCGATGCTAATCCTCATCTTGATGGTGTCAAACCATTTGCTGATATAAGTTCACTCAGTTATTTTCCAGACGAAGACGAAGTATTACTAATGTTAGGATCTATTTTGCGTCTGGTCAGCATTGATGTCGATGAACGAGGAGTGTCGATAATCCGATCGACATTATGTAGCAACAGTGATCATGATGTGCAAGCTGTCTTCGACTATGTGAAGAAACAATATGGTGATGCAGAGACAACTACTCTTTCATTTGGTCTCGTGCTAGGTCTAATGGGCAAATACAATGAAGCAGAGAAATATATTCGTCGTCTACTCAAGGAATTACCGTCAGATCATGAGGACATTGCTGCTTGCTATCATGATCTTGGTGAGATATTAGATAAAAAAGGCGATTATGATTCTAGTCTACAGTCGCATCAGAAAGCGCTCGAGATTATGCTTCAAACACGTAGACCTGATCATCCAGACATAGGGACTAGTTACAACAGTATTGCTGCTGTTCAAGTAAAGACTGGTAATTATACGCAAGCATTGGAATCATTCAGAAAAGCATTCGAGATTTGGAGGCAAGCGTTTGGAGAAGATCATCCTAACATAGCCTTTTGTTTAAGTAACATGGCTGGTATCTACCAAATATCCGGAAAATATGCAGAGGGACTCGATAGCTTGAAAATGGCATTACGTATTCGACAACATCATCTCCCAGCCAATCATCCTGATATAGCCGATACACACAATAATATCGGCCTGCTCTATTTCACTCTTGATCAACTTGATCTTGCCATTGAACATTTCAATATGTCGCTCAAAATTAAACAAATATGTCTTCCTCCTAACCATTCTGATATTGCTATGACATTGAGCAATATGAGTCTCGTTTATGAGCAGAAAGAGGAATTCAATCAAGCACTTTCATATCTGCAAAGAGCAGCCAACATTTGTCATCAGACACTAGAACCTACTCATCCCTATGTACTCCATATTGAGCGACTCATTCAACGTGTTTCCTCAAAACTAAAATAGAAGTGTTCATCTTACTCACTGTCTATCGATATAGCCTAAAAATAAATGAAAACAAAATCTGTGTCAATCTAGATGACTGCCAAATAGTTCGAACGAGCACAAATAAGATGGTCTGAATGAAAAATATCCAACCCGACAATGTTTTATCAGGAATCGACTACTTTAGGAGACTCTTTCATGCCTCAATGGAACTTAATCGTTACAGAAAACAAAATTTTATTCCAATCTCTCTGCAATAAAAACATATAATACTATGTTAAACTCCTGAATCGTACATGAACACTAGATATTTTTCATGATTGTTGACAGTCGAACATAAGGCATGTTCAAATCTTTGCGATGCTTTTTACCGTAGTTACATTTCTTCTTAGAAAGTCGTCTCTATTTTGTTTTCAGTGTGTGAGTGTGGATGTAGATGCCGTTGAAAAGAAAATCAGCACGCCATATCCACACTCTGTATTGGATTTATTCAACTGTTACTTTCGCAATTTACATGACGTCAATAAAACCACATTACCAACGATTACATTCATTCAAACCTGAAAAGTGCCTTCCAGTGTCGGATCAATTACTCTTATTGAAGCATGTAACTGTGGATGGGATGTGGGTGTGGGGTATGGGTGGGTGGGTGTGGATGTGGGGTGTATGGGTGGGTGTGGGTGCGGAGTATGGGTGGGTAGGTGGGTGAGGGTGTGGGTGTGGGCGTGGTGTGGGTGGGTGTGGGTGCGGGTGTGGGTGCGGGTGTGGGTGAATGTGGGTGTGGGTGGGTGTGGGTGTGGGTGTGGGTGTGGGTGTCGAATTCATTGACTTACACTGATACACACACCCGCACCCACACCCACCAAGACCAAACGATGTGTATGTGAGTTTGGTAATACAGAGATAGAAACATCGACGACGACACTCAGTTCCTATCAAAAATATAAGTTATGACTTTTCTTCATTGTATATGCCGGTTCTTTTGCTTATCATCTATAAAAATAAACAGGAAAAACAGTTCCCAACTAAATCATGTTGCAGTAAAGGAGAGGGAACTGTTTCTCCACAAAACGGATCTAAATAATCATTACCACTAACATCATTTGGATATCAGGTTGTACGTTTTTTTCTACAACATTACACTACTCTCAACTCAAATTCACCATTTTCCACTATATTTGAGAATACTCCTAACAAACCTCTTTTTTTTGCCTTTATTTATAGCATATTCCAATTGAAAGTGATATAATGACACCCAAGTGATTTCCGCTGAAACAATATATGAGAGTGCCATTTCTTCAGCATAGATAGATCTTTCCGAGAGTTTGGACAAAATACAAGGGGTATGGGTGTGACTTTGGATAAATTGCAGATTAATACAAGCACCCACACCCACACCCTTAAAAATACGTCGAAAATTCAATAACATGGTCATAAATCAGTATCAGAGACCTACGGACACGAACTTTTGCAGGATTTTTTGTAGTCTTACTGAGATCTTCTTGTGGATATAGTATAAATTCAAACGGCTAACTACAATTGAAATAGATTTATCGTAAGCTTCAAAATTTCACGAAAAGTTGTGTGAAGGAAAAAGAAAAATATTCATGGTAAATGTTTGAACGTCCTTTATTGATGACCGCTTCCTTCAATTCAGCGATTTCATTTAGTCTTTAAATATCTTTTTTGATGCTCACTTATACATGAGTAATATCTTGGTTGTAATCATATCAACTTATAATTCTAGTTTAGAAGTCCTTAATTCTATCTAAATAATTCTATACAGATCTTAATAGCTCATGTAGAACTTAAGAAAAATTTCTCAAACAAAAATCGAATTAACAATAGAAAGCATTCAAGGAAAATCTTTCACAAATAATATTAAAATATTTCATTGCTATAGTTTTGTTTTGATTATGTAAAATATTGTTTGTACGTAATCTTAAAAAATGAATTTTTTGAACTGAACATATAGACATACGTATATAAAGTACTCAATATTGATATTCATTAAATTTTTCATGCATTTATTTTAATCACAAAACAAAGATTCTTTTTTTTGTTTTACAAAAAAAAAATTATAAAGTTTTGAAACAAAAAACAGTAATTTAAAATTTCTCAGGATGTTTTTCAATGTCAATAGGATATTTCTTGATAATAACTTTCCTCTCTTCATTAGCTCGTATAACATATAGGAAAATAAATGCCATACTAATATCGGACAATAGAAACCAAAGAAAACCTGGTCCAAAATATTGTGACCAAAATGGACCCTCTGATTTACAAATATACTCAGCGCCATATGTTGCTGCATATAAACCAATAGCTCCATAGATTCCACCACAAATCAGAGCAGATAAAGCATGACAATTTGGTTTAATACATAATTGTGTAAGTAAATAAATAAAACAACAAACTGATATAACTCCCAAATAAAGAACAAGAAATGTCCACGACCATTGATTTAATATTCCTAATGTCCATAAAATAAAAACAATAAAATATGAACTAATGAGTAGAAAACATGTACAATTTGATTTTGGATTTAAAAACTTAATATCACATAAACCACAAAAGAGAAAAGTAACAGCAATATTTGTTGTTAAACCAGCATCAATAATTGCAAAAAGTAATTGTATAAATAGACTTGAATCGATATCGTTATTTCGAAGAATATGTGATAATTTTTGTGGATCACTCAAAAAACAATGTAATATACCAGCTGATGTCATCATCATACCATATAGAAAAAATATTAATTGATAAAGCCATCGTGTTGAAAATTTTCCAGGTAATTTAGAAATTTTTTTAGAACAATAAAGACCAATTAGTAAAGCCAAAATACATGTTGGAATAAGTGTAGGATTTTGAATACAAAATTTATATTCATCAAAACACCATTTAACAGGTGAAGATGGACATGAAGAATTACCTAATGAATGAGTTCCAAATACATAATTTTGTAAATGTGAAAAATATTTTATTAATTGCACCATTGTTGTTATCTTTTATTTTTTATCTTTATGACGAAGTCGAAAATATACAACTATGTATATATATGGATATCTTTCTTATCAAATGATAATAGAGAATTCTTATTATTTTGGAAGCACGTTTTATGTTGAAAAAATAATAATGATAACTACTACTAAAGTGAACTTTAAAAGACACATAATGTTGATTGTTATCTTAAAATATACAGTAATTTTTATAAAAAAAAATACACTCATTTATAATAATAAATTGTTTTTTATCTAATTAGATTTACTAAAAATAATCTATTGTTGATTTTTTTGAAAACTAATGCGACAAAAAAACAAACATCTCTTCTCCTTTGTTTGTTTTCTTTTCGTACGCAGTAGTGTTTTTCTCTATTGTTTGTCTTCAACTTAAGAGGCTTCCAAAAAAAAACGTTGTTTTTCGAGTATCCAGTCCTAATGTAATTTTCAGTGGATGTATATTTCAAACTAAGCATCATCTTACAGTAAAAATTTCAACTCGATACATTGAGTCTATGAAGAGTTAGCTTAGAACTATCAATCAAAATATAAGTGTCCGTTCGTCACAAATGCTAGAAAGTTCGAGTTGATTTTAAAGCATATCCAAAACATGGTACTACAACTTAATAAAGTCCAATTTTTCAATTTAAGTTTCGACACTTGAATTCAAGATTTTTTTCTCTATAACCCGATATAAAAAGAATCTTTGTATAATTTGTCATAGGTCAATGATTAGATTGAATCAAATGAATGCATATAAAGATGTACAAGAGAATTTCTTTTTTTGTTTGCACATAGACATATTATACTTAACGATGTATGATAATCAAGTCCATCATCGCCAAACATCAACAGAGAAGTTTTAAGACTTTAAAAACCAAAGTTTCTGGAAAGCAAGACGTTATTTTCTTCTGTGTGAGAAACCTATGTAATATCCTTAAATTTCGTCATAAAATCAATAAACTATAGTGTATTCAAGAGTAGACACTCCTACTCTATCTAATGAATTATAAATCACAAAATTGATAAATTTGATTAAAATTCACTTTTTTTTTTCTAAGGGATCCGTGGCCTTAACATTATCTCACTATCTATTTATTATATGTAAATGACTATGAAGAGAAATGCTTAATTGAATTGAACAAAAATTTTCTTTTTTTCTCTTACGAGATAATTTGTTTGATGTTTCTATGCTTTTGAAAATATTATGAAATTGAAACATTTGAAATTCTATCTGGAAATGTATAGTTATATTTTCAAAGTGTATTGATCAATTGAACTTGAAGCAAAACAACAATTCAATAAAATTATTCAATCAAAAATATTAAAAAAGATAAAAATATTATTTATAATTTTTTTTAATAAATCAAATAGGTGACTATAATTTTTTTTCGTCATCATTGTAAGACAGTTTTACTTTTTGTTTGATTTGATTAAAAATTTCATTGACATATGTATAATGTTCATATGATATTCTCTTGAAGCCTTCAATATTTATGCATGTATCAATTATATTTGTCTCTCATTTTCCTTACTTCATTTTTCATGATTTTTGCAACATGAGAACATTCGATCATAAAACTCGATGATTTATTGCACATAGCAAGAATGCCGAGCAATAACCTGTAGAAGTTAAAAGCAATTGAAGTGATGATGTTTTTGTAGAAACGAAAAAAACACCCAACGAGACAAGTAAACAGAAAGTCTATCGAAAAGAACATACTAAGAGAAGAATATGGAAGCAACTTCTCCGCATCCAAATGTTGCAAAATTTTGATGACCATCCACTGTCTCATAATCAACAAATCTCACTATTGTTACCCACCTCTGGACAACTTTGCCAATGAATAATTGCTTTTCTATAGCAAACTCTCTTATACGAGAGAACAATAATTGAAGCATTTATACTAGCTTGAAACTGGTTCATATGTTTGATTTGAGCTAATACTAGGAATTCAATAATTCAAACTCACACGGTACTTAATAGAAGCCGTAACACAAAGTTGTCACATAGCTCTACGTCTTTTCGAAAGAATTCTTCACGAACAACTCTTTTTTTCTTTGACAGCAATACCATCATTGTTCTTATTAAGAGAGCTCATTACAGAACAACGGTGTATCAGTCTATTTTAATCGTATGTTGCATAAATACCCATTGAATGATATTTTAACAAAAATTAGAGGACAGATCAGTGCAGTCTTGTGAGTTGGAAGAGTTGTCACAAAAAAAATTATGCGGATGTTGGTATATGTTAGGTGTGAGTGTCATTGAGAATAATATTTTCAACAACCCACACACATACACTTGCTAGCAACTATGTGAAAAACTATGTATCGAAATAATTGAGTAACACAATTCGTTTCTCTCAAGAATATGAAAATTTATTGTACGTATTTCCGTAAAAATATCAATGGTCAGATGTTGAATTGTACATATACAATGTATATTTCGCAACAATCATATTTGTTGATCAAAACTTACTGTTCAGGAAATTTCAATATTCCTTCTACTTATTCATTTGAAAAATCCAATTATTTATATTAATATCCGATATCTAACTAATTTTTTTTTATAGTGCAGAAAAACAAAGATACAGCAACATGCGTGAACAGCTACACAATGATTAAGAAAGAAAAGTACAAACATTCAGAATTTGTCACATATTCATTGACGTTTACATATGTAATTTAACGTTGATGAACTGAACTAGCACGAATTGTTGAATTCCCTCGTGGATTAGCAATTGATTCGCGTAAATCGTGCTAGGAGACAAAAAAAAACTTAGTCTTTGTTTAATTTTTTCTATTGAACAACTTACTGCTAGAGAAGTACGACTATTAGTACTAGTGGAAGAACGATTTTTGGCACGTAATTTATTAAGTTAATTTTCAGCTAAGTTACCTCTTTCAGTTGCATCTTCTGCAAAAAACTTTAATTATAATTATTTTATTTTTCTATTTAAATCTTTGACTCGTGTCAGAAATTCTAATTTTTTGTGCAGACTAGCAGTTTAAGAGTTTCATACATAGTCGAACAGTCTATATTTCTTACTTTCAAAGGTACTATTGATTAGCTGATTTTTAAGGGTATGGGGTGTGGGTGTGGGTGTGTATGTAAATCTTCTCTTTAGCAACACTGATACCCACATCAACACCCACATCCCCACACCCAGACTGACCCACACCCACACTCCACACCCCACCCACACCCTATAAAAACTAGATCGTTACATGACTATTATGTTGTTAGTAAATAGCATTTGTTACCAATTAACAGATAGTTGTAAGTGATAATTATTAAGTAGTAGATTTAACTATTTTGTGGCACGTATTTGCAGTAGAATGTATCAAAACCAAGTATCAGTAAATAAAAAACAACAAGTCGTAGCTTTACGTGTAAGTGGTATACATTGATACTTGTTGCTTTAGCAGCGACAGAAAACTAGTAATCAGCAACGTGTCCTTAATATTGATGAGCAATAAAAGATAGAATTTGCCATTTATTGTTAATATATAAAAAATTTCTCGAAGACAAAGACATTTTGTATTACCGATACGTACACGTGAAAGTAAGGTGAAATATGAGGAATCTATTCAATCACTTTTAATAATGTTTGTGCATTCAGTTTCTAGGCATATTTTCTCTGTATGTGTGTGATAACACTTAAATTTTACCGAAAAGAAATGAAAAAGAATGTTCTCTATTACGTGTTGAAATCGTTCTTTATTGAATAATAAAATATATATGTACCTAATTTAACTGCGAATGAAGCATCAGATTAAGGTGAAAGGTTTAATATATATGCTCATGTGCTCTCAGAAAAATTTGGGTATCGATAAAAGAAAAACTTGTTTGGTGTTAATGCTTCATGAACACGAAAAGCAAGTTTTTCTTTGATTTGCTGAGGTTTGACTAAGACAAATTGAGGTACTGAGCAGAGATAGCCTTGCAAGGGTGTGGGTGTGGAGTGTCGATGTGAATGTGGTTGGGGACGTTAATCTTCCCTTCATTCATATTCACACCGAACCCATCCACACCCCAATTTTACTAGTTTTCTCCACTACACTGCCAATATCTCCTGAAAATTTCATGCGATAAGTATGTACCTCGACCAAAATCCCCTTTGAGAAAGCATGGGATAGTCTTCAGTGTTCGAGTACTTTTTGAGCTACCTATAGTAATTCAAATTTTATGATTGAATATAAAGGGCATTGTAAATTTAAAGCATGTTAATTTCTAGGCTGCTTTTCGATTCTTTGGTGTGGTTTATCCTTCTAATGCATGGCTACAATATAGTCTTACTTATGCTATAATTATTCCATTTGTATGGAGCATTTCGTTCCTTTTCATTTTACCGATTCATCTCTGGCATGATATACATTTTATGTATATAGAAAATACCTGCTTACTAGCTTTTCATAGTGCTCGCGGGTTGATTTAGTCTTCTCTAATTATTTATGGTATACCAATTATTGTCATCAATATTATTCATATACAGCTGATGCGATTCATGCGTCGACCAACTATGGTTGCTTCAGCACGAGCTAAAAGTGATGCGATCGTAATACATCGTATTGTATTGGTTGTCATTATTTTAATGCTAATCGGTGCTCCTTCAGTCATTTTGAAGTTAATTTTACCTTTTACTGACGTTGGAAACCCATTGTTTTATCGTAGTCAGAATATAGTTATAGACACAACTATGATCGCTTTTACCTTCATGCTCATCTATGTCACTCCTCAAGTCAAAGAAGTGCTCATCCGTATTCGAAAGCCAACTAACGTAACACTTATATATACACGACAAAAGTGTATTTTAGCTGTTAATACCATCAAATATTAATATCTGACAGAGCAAATAATTATCATAATGCATATGTACTCTAACATTGTTACGAAGTACATGAGACTTTAGATGAAACAGAAACGTCAATGGTGTTGAAGGACATAAGTATTTGCCTTTTCAATGACTGTTTGGTGTTGTTAGGTAGTGGTA